CTTTGTCAGGACATGTATCTATAAGCTTGTCCACTGTATCGTCATTTTTTGAGCGTTGCCGGGCCGTGCGCCTACTGCTTCATTCCTTGACGATCACCTTCGAGGGACAAACAGAGCTCGTCACTGTCGAGACAGGTTATTCGGGCATGCGGCTCTGCTCCATCACCCGCGAACTTGCCCCCGCAGAACCTATCGAGCTGAACAATGAAGGACAGGAGGATTCCGGCACCCCTTGCGTCTGGAACGCCGTATTTAATATTCAAGTTCCTGGCTGGCTTCCGTCCTCCGATCGATTTGGAGACCTGTCGGATAATGTCGCTGCAGGAACATCCTACTCGCTACATGCGACGGCGAGGTTTACGAACATCGGCGAATCTCCCACCAAGTCTTGGTTAATGTCGACCTTGTGCACTCCGTTCCGCTCGAAGGCAAGAGTTGTTAGAGCGCCCCAGAAAACTATCATCATACAGCGTTTCATCCCAACATCGTCCATGGCTTCTTCGTCAACTTCTTTATTCCCTCTCGCTACCTTTGTAGCGTCTGTCTCGCCTGACGTTCCAGAAGAAGAGCGAGACACTTCGTGGATACCGCAGAGCATCCTATCTAACATCCAAGTGTTGGCATCGGTTCCGAGCCACATAGATGTCAATGAGATCTCTTTTCCTCTCACCCTTCGCTTACGAGCTCGAGACCTTTCTGTGGAAGACCGCAAGAAGCTACGATTTGTCGATTTCACGGTGGAGGTCGAGCAAGTAGAGAGATATCGGTGTGTCTTGGTTCCCCTACATGTTATACCGTACACAAACCTGACAGTACCTTTATAGGGTCTCGCCATCTTCTGAATATACTTCCCGATCTCCACTGCCCCCGCGGGCTCTGCAGCCTCCACATATGCCATTGCGAAATCCTCATCCAATGTGCACTCTACATGATCTTGGATTCGCAACAGAGGGCCCAAACCCTTCCGCTACCCGATCTTTCTCGATTCTTTCACAGGAGCATTCCGGCCATTACGTTCTTACAGGGGATGGCCATGTCTTCACCGACAGCGAGACTGAAGGCGAGCGGTCGAATCAATGGTTCAATATGCAGGCCCAGGTCCCTCTTGGCATCTCCGACGAGATTGTGCAGGCGAAAGACTGGGCAGGCCCAAAGAAATTAAGACAGACGGAAGAGGGACCTCTGTTCAGTGTTCGGCATAAACTTCATCTGTCTTTGACGTACACGTACGATGTGGATGAGGAAGACACCGACGCACGCGAAGAGGATGCGTTGATCGGCGGAAATACGACTGAGCCAAAACGCGCTGAGGGCCGAGTTGGTTTTTCCGTTCCGCTGGACTTCGTTCGCCTAGACCCTCGTGTGGCGCAATGCTGCACTCCACCGCTATCTCCAGTCTCTTCCATCTCATCCCCTTCTTCTTCGACTTCCTCTTTGTCATTGAACATGCCATGCCCGCTCGACGCGTCGCCGTTGCCGCCATACTCTCAACTGTACGATTCCAATGGTGAACGGAAGATTGACTATTCTACACCTCTTCCTCTTTACACACCACCCTCACAACCTTTCATCGCATCCTGGGGATGACGCTCTCGAATCCAAGGATGCCGAATTGCTATAGAGCTTCCGCGTTCGTGTTCTGGCCGACCACGTCACTCTTTCGTTGCATTTCATTTTTGACACCAGCATTTTTCGCCATTCTCATTCTGTCAAGCCACACAATGATCTTGCCTCGTTTCATCTCAAGTCGTTCTGTATTGTCAACAGTGTTTTATTTGGTATCGCCGTCGTCGACCCCATCAACCATCTGTATCCTAGTGCCTCTATCTTGTCTGTTATCTTTTTGTGCTCATAAGCTTCTCAGAACTCGGCGTTCGCACAACTTGTAATCTCATGCTCCCTGTCCGCGACATCGACTGTAATATAGTGAAGGTGTATTATCTACTTCTTCATCCTAATTCAACACTTCTTCCGTTGCTACGTTTTTACAGTGTAGGGATGCGATGCTAGACCAGTGGAATCTTCTTCAACACTTTCCACTCCGGGACGGGACCCTCGCAACTTACAATCCAAATCTCAGCGCCCTCATATCCCGTCAAGAAGTCGCCGTCGCCAGAGTCTAAACCTACAGCTTCGTCGCTAATGGTGTGGACCTTCTCTTGACTGACCAGTTCATCGCGAATGCGAGCTCGTTCATCTGGCTCGGAATCGTCGATGTAATACAACGACATGTGCGGAAAACTAGGTGTCTTCGGATCCAATTTGATCCTCTCGTGGATTCCTTTGTGAAGTTCCAGCAGCTCGGGACTGGAATGGCAGACAGCATATACAGATCTGAGATACACCTCGCCTACGTCGACTGACTTGAAAGTAACTGGAACCTTAGGCTGATTGGGTGGAATGGCATCTCTAATGCTTCCGAGGTCTGTTCTAGTCGGGAAGGAAGCGAGTGTGACATGAGGATCAATTGGTGGGTAGGATGACGGTGACTTCGCCTGAGAGGGGTGTACATGCATGATTCGTGCCAGCTTGTGGTAGGTTTCCTGCGCGGGAACAAGCCATAGCGAAAGACCTACTCAACAGCCTGGGCTTAGCTATGTCGCCATACCTCCACAGAGCTGAACAAACATACCCATCTCTGTTGTGTTCTGATACGTCCGCTAGTATTTAGTAAAGTACTTGGCCGCGAGAGGTTGTTACAATTTAGCGGTCCGAGGTCTTTGGTACCGTAAGACGAGGCTTACCATACCGGATGTGATGAAGGCTATCGCGCCTAAATGAGGGAGGCGTATACTCTTCTATAAAGCGCCACCAGCGAATGGTGATATACTACGTTAAATGCGGCTAAATTTACGATATGAGACAGAGTACAGTCCAAAGCAACTACGATTACACCTGCGAAATTATACAAGCCACTCTCATACACCAAGGCATTTCTGCTACAAACTAGCTCCCCTGCATTCATACATAGAGAATTTCCTTCTCCAAGACAAGTACACCAAGATCAAGCACTATTGACACCGATATGGGATTCTGTCATCCTATCGTGCAGATTGACCCAACTCTCACTGACGCCACCCGTATCGGCATTGCTCTCTACGTCAGCCTCAGACGCGCTGTCATTGTCGTGGCCATCTTGATGCTCCCCTTCGCTGCTCGGAGCGGAGTGATTGCTCGCAGTCCGTGCCTCTGTCTGAGGTGGCGCTGGCGGTGGGTAGGGTGATTCACCCGCCACAGTGTTAGGCAAGGGCATGCGGGGAGGGACAGGAACCAGAGCATTCCGGATTGACATAAGGAAGTGCGGAAGGTTGAGTAACCCGTCGAGGACCAGAGTAGGGAGGTATGAGGCCATGGCATAGGTCCCAGCTCCTGCACCTACAGCAAACCTCTCCCCACGAATCCAGTTCCTAATCCTGCCAAGACCGATGTCGAAACCGAGGAAAGTCGTACTGGATTTACGACCACCGCTAACAACGGCTACCAATGACTCCACGAAGCGAGCAACATCGGTAGGTTTCCTACGGACACCCCTTAATTGACCCTCCTCTACGGCAGAAAGGAAAGCAGAGCCGTAGGTGTGCTTCTCTGAGGGTGTCCAGTCGTCCATCGAGTCCATGATATCTCGCATGGGTACAATAGAACGACGTCTGGGCGTAGCCATTGCTCCAACGTCCACTGCGACGACCTTGATATTCTTCATGGATTCACTTGGATCAAACAAAGCTGCGACGCGAATCTCCCGTCGGAGGACTTCGATGGCGCGCAGAGTGGCTGCGGCACTCATGGCCTGCTCGCTCGCGAACGGAAGCCCGACTCGTGCGTCCATAGCCGGTAGACAAAAGACAATGCTCTTGTTCCCCTTGTTGTTGGCGATATGGTCCCTGGATCTGGCCGGGGTCGATCGGAGCATAGGCAACAGTGCCTGGATGACCTGCAACGGGGTGATGTGGGTCGCGGTGAGGTAGGATAGATATGAACCACGGAGGGAGACGTGCTCAAGAGGTGCGGGAAGGGGTTGAGTACTGGGGGATGGGAGCGTTAAGAGACAGATAACGGCATGAATATATGGACCGGTCAAAGGAGAGGCGTAGGGATCACCGGCTGATGTGATTGGGAAACGACGAGATAGTGTAGACACCAGCGATCGCAGGAAGAAGGTCAAGTTATCAGGCTATGGGACGCATCAGTCTGGCGCACAAGACAGGCAGTAGAATGAAACAGCATACCTCCGAAGGATCAAAAATCAGAGCGCGCACGTAGCCGTGGCACTTCGTTTCTATTTCATCCGCAGCTTCCGGAACAGCGACACTCGTAATGACAATGAAGCCCTGCTTTTCGAGCTCAACGATCAGGGGAAGACCCAGAGGTGTGTCACCACCCAGCACCACTAGGCAAATGAACGTCAGTCATACCTCGTGTTGCGTAAATTTTGGTAAGCAGACTAACCAACAACTTGTCGTCGCTCATCTGCCCCTCTCACTTGCACTCTCTTATTCCTCCGCTGGTATGTCCGAGCAACGAACGATCCATAGCCTACCAGGAGCCCTGCGCCTGCAACCCCGACTACAATCCCAGCAGTGGTCTTCGGATGGTCTAACAGCCAATCGATGGACGACTTGGGCGGCGGGGGCGGAGGTGGCGGGGGCGGGGGTATCTCGAAGTCACCTAGACCAGGTAGATGTATGTCCGGGAAGGACGACCATCCTGGAGGACCGAACCGTGCAATATCGGCCCAAACTCGATGCAGCGTGTCGCGAACGCTCGGAAAGTCTGGGATGGCAGAAGTAGAGGAGATGAAGAGCTCTTCGATGGATTCCAAGTAGCTCTCGATTTCCTCGACTGTTGGGATCATCGTTCTCACCTAGCTATATCCTGCGTAGTAGATTCATCCAAGAATGCATCGGCTCCCGCTCCGTGGGCGGCGCATTGAGAACAGCTGTGAATAGGGAGCAAACTGAGACTATATAGACTATATATACATGTATTGGTCAATTCTACAAGACACCGTGGCCGAGTGGTTAAGGCGACAGATTAGAATCTCTTCTATTATCTGTTCCGCTCTGCGGGCACAGGTTCGAGTCCTGTCGGTGTCGTATGATGTTCTTGGGAAGGCTTCACTTTTTCATGATTCCACGTCGAGAAAATGGACCTTCAAGCTTCAGATCTCAGAGCTAATGGCCGTTCTGATGCTTCCAAAGGTCCAACTCCCTACATCCGAGAATCGCGAGAAGGCTCATTGTCATGGTAGGGAAGAGTAGGAAGATGACGACCTGCTTACGAGACCATGAATGTGAAGACAAGGAGCACTGCGGCAACGCGAGGCGAGATACTCCTATGGCCTGTATATCTTTCGCATTTTCGACAATTCCCCCTCGCGCGTTGCAATCTGATCAGACAGAATCAACACGCTCAAAGTAGGATCCGTAGAATGATTGAAATGTAAAGATTATAACATTTTGGTCCCACGTGAACAGCGTTTATCTCCTATATAACGTCCAGTGGCCATATCGACTATGAGCCGCCAATCTCCTTCGCCAACTGCTCAGCCTTAACCTTCACGTCGTCAATCGTCCCAACCATGTAGAAAGCAGACTCGGGGAGCGTATCGTGCTGGCCAGACAGGATCTCCTTGAACGACCGGACTGTGTCCTTCAGCGGGACAAGCTTGCCCTCGTAACCAGTGAAAATCTGCGCGACAGCAAAGGGCTGCGACATGAAACGCTGGATCTTACGAGCACGCTCGACCTATATGGACGACATTTAGCCACCGCAGTAATAAACAAGGATGTACTAGACGCACAGTGAGCTTGTCCTCCTCAGACAACTCGTCCATACCCAAAATGGCAATGATATCCTGGAGGGACTTGTAGTCCTGCAGGATCTTCTGCACAGCGGTGGCGACGTCGTAGTGCTCCCGGCCGACCTATAGCACACATAACACATCAGAGACAACCAAACCGCCAACACGTCATAATACTCACGATACGGGGGTCCAACATACGAGACTTTGAGTCCAGGGGGTCGACGGCGGGGTAGATACCAAGCTCAGCAATAGAACGAGACAACACGGTCGTGGCGTCCAAGTGAGCGAAAGTCGTAGCCGGAGCAGGATCCGTCAAGTCATCAGCGGGCACGTAGACGGCCTGCACGGAGGTGATGGATCCCTTCTTGGTGGTGGTGATACGCTCCTGCCTGTAGAGGGGTTAATGATCACATATATGTTCACACTAAAATCAACGCACATGCCACCCATGTCCGTGGAAAGCGTGGGTTGGTAACCGACAGCAGAGGGGATACGACCGAGCAAGGCAGACACTTCAGAACCAGCCTGGGTGAACCGGAAGATATTGTCGATGAAGAGCAACACATCCTGGCCCTCTTCGTCACGGAAGTACTCCGCAATGGTAAGACCAGTCAGGGCGACACGGGCACGAGCACCAGGGGGCTCGTTCATCTGACCGAAGACGAGAGCGACCTTGGAGTCACCCTCGAGGTTAATGACACCGGTCTCAATCATTTCGTGGTACAAGTCGTTACCCTCACGGGTACGCTCACCGACACCTACATACAACTGTCAAGAAAGTGTTGTCTCGCAAATATTCGCTGCACTCACCACAGAAGATAGAGAAACCACCATGAGCCTTGGCGACGTTGTTGATCAGCTCCTGAATCAACACAGTCTTTCCGACACCGGCACCACCGAAGAGACCGATCTTTCCACCACGAGCATAGGGGGCAAGAAGGTCGACGACCTTAATACCGGTCTCCAACACCTCAGCGGTCGTGGACTGGTCAACGAACGCCGGAGGCTCAGCGTGGATGGGCAACAACTTGACACCCTCAATAGGCCCACGTTCGTCAATGGGCTCGCCAATGACGTTCATGATGCGACCGAGCGTCTGCCTGCCAACGGGGATCTTGATGGGCGCACCGGTGTCGACGACCTTCTGTCCACGGACGAGACCCTCGGTACCGTCCATAGCAATGGTACGGACCGAGTTCTCACCGAGATGGGCGGCAACTTCGAGGACGAGCCGGCCGCCGCCGAAGTCCTGCACCTCCAGAGCGTTCAAGATGGGCGGAAGGTCATCCGTGTCGAATTGCACGTCAACGACGGCACCAATGACGGTCTTGACCTGACCGACAGCACCCTTGGCCTCCGTCGCGTAGGTGCGCGCTGCACGTCAAAAAGCGGCCAAAAATTACGAATAACTTCAGTCAGTAAAAGAAACACCCCTACACAACTAGACGCTGTCCGCACCAGACTGGGGGGCAAGACGGGCGGGGCGAGAGCTGCTGGAGCCCTGGGCGGGTACAGGACGTGTCAGGCTTGCGGCCTTGTTGAGGAGAGGGGCGGCGGCAGAGGAGAAGAAGGCATTGTTCCTCTTCGCATTTTGGACCGCTCTGCGGGATAGGCGGGTGACGCCGCGCGAGGTGAGCATCGTCGACGACTGTGGTGATGAGTATGCGACGTCGACCCGAACTCTTTCGGCCTATTTTTCAGTTGGCACTCCGCCCAATCTCCGCCCACCCACCCGGCGCCTCCCGCAACCGTTCCGACCCACAAGTCGTCGTGCTCATTGACGGCATACTAACACGTTGTTGAGGGCGTTGGAATGTCCGAGTCGACTACAGAGATGCAGAGACCACAGGGCGGTCCAAAATGTAATAGTGTCACTCGTATGTTATCTTTGTATTCGAGACGCAACTCTAGACTTGGGAAACGGCCGATGGACCGAGCCACAGGTTCCCCACACCCGCATCTGCAGGCCTGAGGAAATTTGTGTTCTGTACCAACTATTACCAAGAAGAGATGCGGTTAGAAACGTCGACCGGCAGCCTATTATATGTATACAAAAAATTGACCAGAGTGATGTACCAACCCAGTCAATATTTACCTCTGTATGTAATAGTTTATATGCACGGCGAGCCACAATCGGGAATGCAAGTCACTGGGATGACGTCACCGTCGAAGCCACAATGCACGTCGCAGTAACTAGTTTCTGTTCTGTGCATTCAGGATATCGATGTCTCCAAGACAGCACCTCCAGACTACCCTCGTCCGCTCGCTCAACCCTGCGCACCGTATCCCCAATGGCTCAAGCTTCAACCACTTGCGATTTGCATCGAGCACACCCTCAGGCGGCTTCCGCTCACAATCGCTCACGAGGAAGACACTCACCGTCGCGAAATGGGGCGGCTACCTCGTGTTCTCCTCCGTAGTCGGTTTTGTCTTTGTTACTGGCGCGATATTCGTGCACGACGCGTTCACATACAGCGATGCGCACATTGATCGCGTGCCTGTCAGTCCGCTAGCTTTGAATCCTGAGAAAGGTGGCCCGAAGAACCTCCCAATTGCCAATGTACTCGTAGATGATTCCGAGGACGAAGAGTACCAAAAGATCGCCAGCAAACCCAAGCTGGTAGTCGTAGGCGGAGGCTGGGGAGTGAGTCATCAATCAAGGCTGCTTTCTGTGGCCGTCTGACTGGTATCAGGCTGTCTCCGTTCTGCAATCACTACATGCGGGCGATTATCATGTAACCGTTATCTCCCCAGATACATACACCACCTTTACTCCCCTCCTACCCTGTGAGTTTTCCCTTCACTGGTCCTGTCCATTCCTAACACCTCGCAGCCGCGGCTGTCGGCACCGTCCAGCCTCGCTCTCTCGTCGAGCCCCTCCGCAAAATTATCGCCCGTCTGCACGGCCACTTTCTCGACGCCAAGGCCATCGACCTAGAGATGCACGACAAGCTGATCGAAATTGAGGCCAATGGCCACCGCATGTACCTCCCCTACGACAAGCTTGTCATCGCCTGCGGGTCTGTTTCCTCTACGCATGGTGTCCCTGGCTTAGAAAACTGCTTCCAGTTGAAGACTATCAGCGACGCGCGCTCGATAAGGAGGAGGATCATTGACAACTTTGAGGCGGCGAGCTTGCCGACTTGTGAACCCGAAGAGAGGAAGAGGTTACTGAGCTTTGTGGTGTGTGGGGGCGGTCCGACCGGTGTGGAGACTGCCGCGGAGATCTATGATTTGTGTCAGGAGGACTTGCTGAACTATGTAAGGAAAACATGATTTCAGTGGTAGGAGTACACTGACGTACTTCGTTCAGTACCCCAAATTGCTTCGGCAGCAGGTTTCAATACATGTCATTCAAAGCCGAGAGCACATTCTCAACACGGTAGGCACTCGATTTTTTCCACCGAGACTATCGTCAACCCCACTGATTCTATGTAGTACTCTGAAGCGATCTGGAAATACGCGGAAGCAAAGTTCTCCAGGGACGGCGTGAACCTTATCACAAACTCGCGCGTCAAAGAAGTGCACCCGGACAAGGTGCTCTTCACGCAAAAGAACCCCGACGGCAGCTTCGAGACTCTCGAGGTCCCCACCAATTTCGTCTTGTGGTCCACGGGCATTGCCATGAATCCTTTCACGCAGCGCGTCTCCAACTTACTCCCTAATCAGGTGCATAAGAAGGCTATTGAGGTCGACGCGCATCTACGCGTGAAGGGGGCGCCGATCGGGGAGGTGTATGCTATTGGGGACTGTGCAACCATTGAGACGAGTGTGCTGAGATATTTGATGGAGCTTGTGGATCAGTGCGACAAGAATAACGATGGGAAGATTGATTTTGAGGAGTGGGAGGATATGGGTGAGTGTGTTTGCTCATGTTATCTGAGAGGCAGGGGAGGCTGAATGATCTGTGGGTAGTGACGAAGATTAAGCAGAAGATGCCGATGACGGAGAAGCATTTGGACAAGGCGGGTTGTAGGCTAGGGTATGAAGTGTACGCAACTGACGACCGCGCTTATCCAGATCCGGGAGGTCTTTGAGCTATACGACTCCGATAAAGACGAGAGCCTCACTCTCAACGAGCTCACCGTCCTATTGCAGGAGATCGGCAACAAAATAACCGCACTGCCGGCCACCGCGCAGGTCGCTTCACAGCAGGGCAAGTACCTCGGGCAGAAGCTCTCTAAGATCGCGCGGCAGCAGGAGCGCCACGGAGAGAAGGCGTCGATACTGCAGGATGAGGATGTGGCGAAGCCGTTCCAGTACCTGCATTTGGGGAGTCTGGCGTACATT